CACCAGAGCTGTTGCCCATGAATTGAATGTTCATTTCTCTACCACAAGCTATCTCCAAAGCGTTTCAGAAAATTTGGCAGTACATCCAACCGGCCTCATAACTGCAGACCACGTGTAACCACACAAGCCCAGGACCTCAACATCCAGCATTTTCACCTCCAAGATCGTCTGAGACCAGCCACCTGAACAGCTGCAACAATCGGTTTGCATAACCAAAGTATTTCTGCACAAACTGTCAGAAACCATCTCAGGGAAGCTCATCTTCATGCTCATCATCCTCATCGGGGTCTCGACTTGACTTCAGTTCGTCATCATAAACCGACTTGAGTGGGCAAATGCTCACATTCTATGGCGTCTGGCACTTTGGAGAGGTGTTCTCTTCACGGATGAATCCCAGTTTTCACTGTACAGGGCAGATGGCAGACAGCGTATATGGCGTTGTGTGGGTGAGCGGTTTGCTGATGTCAACGTTGTGGATCGAGTGGCCCATGGTGACGGTGGAGTTATGGTACGGGCAAGCATATGTAACGGACAACGAACACTGGTGCATTTTATTGATGGCATTTTGAATGCACAGAGATACCGTGATGAAATCCTGAGGCCATTGTTGTGCCATTCATCCACGACCATCACCTCATGTTGCAGCATGATAATGCACATCCCCATGGTGCAAGGATCTGTACGCAATTCCTGGAAAATGAAAACGTCCCAGTTCTCGCATGGCCAGCATATCCACCAGACATGTCCCCCATTATGCATGTTTGGGATGCTCTGGATCAGCGTTTACAACAGCGTGTTCCAGGTCCTGCCAATAACCAGCAACTTCGCACAATCATTGAAGAGGAGTGGACCAACATTCCACAGGCCACAATCAACAACCTGATCAACTCTATGCGAAGGAGATGTGTTGCACTGCGTGAGGCAAATAGTGGTCACACCAGATACTGACTGGCTTTCGGACCCCCCAGGTTGTGCCATAGTATAAGAAAATGGGAAAATTTAAAAATATATATATATATTTCCTATTTTTATTCTTATTCATAATTTTCCTAGAAATAATTTTTCTATTATTTTATATTTTTCCTATCGGTGCTTGCTGCCAATATTTATCTTGTTAGTTGGATTATCAGAGCTTATCCTAAATTTTACACACACACATAGCTAGACAATCACAAGCTTATATAACTTACCACATACAGCAATCTAACATACTCTCATACAGATACATAGACACACTATCCAGGGTTATTGCCAGAAGTAAAAAAAAAACTAAATTGGTTTGGTATTCCAAACGCTGACTCTTTTATGTTAAATCATCTCATAATTCCATAATTTATAAATACTGAGAGAATCAGTAGCAGGGGAACTGATTTGAGATGTTATTTATCTTTTAACAAAACTAATTGTAATTCTAAGAGATGAAATAACACTTCCAGTTGCATATTTCCAGGAGATTCAGGGCCAACAATGAAAATATAATAAAATCAGATCTGGGGTTTTTCAAGACAATACTCAGGACTCCAGACCAGGTCAGATCCCCACACCCCTGACCCCATAGCAATGTACCTGATGCATATACATAGACACAAACTATGTTTCTACACAGTTTGTCTTCCTCGGGTGTTGAGAAAAACTCTTCTCATTGAAAATAAACCAAACCATGCTATTGGCCTTTCTGATGATTGGCACTTCTAGCAAGGAGAATGAAGGCTTGGAGAGCACAAGATTAGAGATATATGTTATATAATCCCCAAATCAAGATTATTATGATTTAATTGATTCAAGAGACTGCCTAGGTCCTGGGATCTACATACATTTTCACACACAACAATAGTCTCCTCTCACACACAGACAACAGAAGCCCAGAGCTCAAGAGGAGGGACCCAATCTTCCATCCTGTCTAGATCCTAAAGCTTGGTATCTACAATAAAAACTGTAATGTGATGCTCCTAAATATTCTTACTTGTCTTGAATAATCTTTCCCATTTCATAATTTCTCCAGAGGTAATGCATTTTACTCCCACACCTCCTGAATGGTTATTGGAGTATTGTATAAAGCTTAGTTAGGGTTTTATAAATATATATATATATATATATATATATATATATATATATATATATATTATTCTCAGTATACTTAATTTGTCCTGTTTCAGCATCCAAATGTAATACTATATTAAAGACCAACCAGAGAAGAATGAGTAGTAATTTGTGCTCCTCAGACACTGATATCATCTGGTACAGTGATTCTCAAGCTTGTCCTCTGGGATATATCCTCAGAGAAAAATTATCATCTCATTATACGTTATGTTACCATGACATGTCCCTGGGATAGAAGTGAGGGATACTTTCAATGCTTTGTGTATGTGTCTCTTGCATAATGTAGATGTGCCAAGGAGAAATAACCTATTGTGCAATGTTATGTGTGTCACACTGATTTTATAAAAGCATAATGATATCAATATATCACTAAAAAATACATACTCTGTTTAGTATCATCTTCCAGCAACATAGAAAAGTGCTTAGTGAATAAGATGGCAGGTTAAGTACAAAAAAAGATGAAAGAAAATAATAAAAGGGTAACGATTGCTTAAATATCTTCTTTTTGTCTTTCTGAGCTTTATAAGATAATAAATTATAAGACAAAATATCTTTCACATCCAATCAACCTAGAAGTTACTCACAGCTCTGAAACTCATCTTCTTCAAATGGTCATGCACCTTCTAAAATAAGTATCCCAAAAATATATGTTTATCTTTTCTATATTTAAGGCACCCCTTCTTAATCCTTCACATCCAGTCATTCACCAAACTTGTTGCTTCAATCTTAAAAACATAGCTTTCAACCACCCATACCAAACACCAGATGTTGCTAAGGTGCTTGTCCATGCCACTCTCATCTCCCACCATGATTACTGCAGTCTGCTTCTCACTGGTCTTACACAACAGCCTAGAGTTAATGCTTTAGTAAGGCTCATCTTCCTGTCTACTTGCACCTCCCATGCCTCCCCTCAGTCAGTCCCTACATTGGCTTCCCATAAGATATAGGGTCTAAATGTCTACTGCTTCTGTCCACCTATCCTCATTAACACACAATTATGTCCCATCCAAGTCTCTACACTCTGCCGAATACCTGTGTCCACACTCGCACCTCTGACTCTCACCATCAAGACTTTCCTAAGGCTGCACCATTCCTATGGAACTTCCTCCCCTGCTCCATTAGACTCTCAACCAGTCTCCAGTCCTTCAAAAAATTATTGAAAACTCACTTCTTTAAGAAGGTATATCAACTAAACTGTTTTCTAAACAGCTTTCCCTCACTAAACATCACTAACCCATCTTACCTCCTGCAACTGTGTAATCTAAAAAACTAAGCCTTCATTGTAACATCTTCTAGTAGCCTACTTTTCCATTACATGAGATACACCTGGTGTATGCAGTGGATGTGATCTACTTGGATTTTTCCAAGGCATTTGATACGGTTTCTCACAATAGGTTAGCCTTCAAACTAAAAGAAATTTGTCTAAATGAATATTCTTGTTCTTGGGTAGAACATTTGCTTAAGGATAGAGTACAACGAGTTGTCATTAGTGGTACATTTTCAAGCTGGACAAAAGTGGTAAGTAGTGTCCCACAAGCTTCTGTTTTGGGACCGCTTTTTTTGACATATTTATAAATGTTCTTAAAATAGGCATTGAAAGTCATGTTTTAGTGTTTGCAGATGACACAAAACTTTGTAAAGTAATAAAATGTGAGCAGGATATTGCTTTGCTGCAGAGGGATTCAGATAGATAAGGGGACTGGGCACTAAAATGGCAGATTAAATTTAATGTAGAGAAATACAAGTTATGCACTTTGGGGTCAAGAATGCACAAGCAACTTACACCCTAAATGGTAGTGAATTAGGGGTAACCACATACGAGAAGGATTTGGGAATTGTTATAGACAACAAATTAAGCAGCAATATGCAATGTCAATCTGCAGTTGCTAAGGCCAGTAAGGTTTTGTCATGTATAAATAGGGGCATAAATTCTAGGAATGAAAATATAATTTTGTCTCTTTATAAATTGCTGGTAAGACCACACCTTGAATATGCTGTGCAATTTTGGGCACCTGTTCTAAAGAAGGATATCATGGCACTAGAAAAAGTACAAAGACGAGCTACAAAATTGATAAAGGAATGGAGCATTTTAGTTACGAAGAAAGGAAAAAATGTAAATGTCTTTAGTCTGGAAAAACGGTGCCTCAGAGGGGATATGATAACATTATACAAATATATTTGGGGCCAGTGCAAACCATTATCTGGAAATTTATTCATAAACAGGGCTATACATAGGACACAAGGTTACATATGTAGGCTGGAAGAAAGGAGATTTAATCTAAGGCAAATAAAAGGTTTTTTTACAGTAAGAACTATAAGGATATGGAATTCTCTGCCTGAAGAGGTGGTTTTATCAGAGTCCATACAGATGTTTAAACAGCAATTGGATAAATACTTCCAAAAACATAACATACAGGGATATCATTTCTAATTAGTGGAGTAATAGCTGCTTGATCCAAGGCGATAAATGACTGCCATTTTGGGGTCAAGAAGGAATTATTTCCTAGTTTGTTGCAAAATTGGAAGCACTTCAGACTGGGTTTTTTGCCTTCTTTTGGATCAACAGCAAAAACATATGTGAGTAAGGCTGAACTTGATGGACGCAAGACTCTTTTCAGCTATGTAACAATGTAACTATATGTAACCTTACCTTTATGTCTTGTGTCATGTTACCCCACTCCCTTAGAATGTAAGCTTGTTTGAGCAGGGCCTTCAACACCTTCTGCTCCACTAGGTTAAACTTGCTTGTTAGTCCACCTATTGTACAGTGCAGCAGAATTTGTTGGTGCTTTATAATTATTATTATTATTAACAATAATAATAATAAAATATACTATATAAATATATAGTTTATTTTCTGCTCCTCTTCTTTTTCCCTCTATTTACTTTTTCTCACTTGATCTGTGAACCAAATGTAGGTAAAATTTATATATAATATTATATTATGTATATATTATATATACATTTTACCTCCACTTGGTTCACAGATCAAAAAAAAATATTTTGCAGAACACTGATTGACTCATATTCATGCTCTTTTTGGTTTCCTCCAAAAGTTTTCCATGAACTAAGTCTGGCCAAGCTGAACTGTCACAGAAATTAAAAGTAAAACGTCAGGTGGCAAAAACAAAATTTTAAATTTAGAAAACAATTTCCAGCTGAACTGAACCCACCTCTGCACAAGTCTACTGCTAACTCAAGATAGAAGTGTACTGATAAAACAGCTCTTTTATGGAGCAATACCACCATAAAAAGCAGAGCGGACCAGTACCCCTACATCTAGAAATTGGCAACCAAAGCAAGCAATGGCACTTAAAGAAACACTATAGGGTCAGGAACACAAACATGTATTCCTGACTCTATAGTGTTAAAACCACCATTTAGGTGAATTAATGCATCTCTGTGAGGAAAGTTCAGTGTCTCCATGCAGATTGTGGAGACACTGAATGTGAGGTCTGCACACTGTGCAGCATTTCTCCAGGAAGCACCTCCAGTGGATATCTGAGGAGTGGCCACTGTAGGGGTTCCTAGGGAGCAATGTAAACACTACCTTTTCAATGAAAAAACAGTGTTCGCTGCAAAAAGCCTGCAGAGTCTGACAACATTCTCCAAAAACCAAATACAATAAGCTGTCTCTTTAAGCTATATTCTTATACTTCAGAGTTTTTAAATACAGTACACATGGAATTATGGAGGTAATTATTTCCCCAGATGTGTCATAGAGCTAAGGGAACCTAAGCCAGTGTTTTAAACATATACACTGCCTTAGACACTTAAACATTCATTTTAATGTATTGCTAATTAATAATAAACTGAGATCTACGCCAGTAGCAGTTTAAAAGCCGAATGATTTGTTACATAGAGTATAACATTTATATTATCCATTTCAATGAATTCAAATTAGTTTTTACTCAGTTCAGAAATATTCACTGGTTCCCAACTCGTTCTGAAAGGGACAAAATAGCTCCCAGGACTGTTTGTGAAATATAAATGCTGCCTATAAGACGCCTTTTCCCCTTCTCATTTACTGCACATTCATCCTGGTCTGTGACTCTCTGCTACATTAATCAAGCCAAGTTTTCTATAATAGTATGCCCTCTGAGGTCAGGCTTCCATGCTTATTTGGCTGTAATACTAATGGTTAGTAAATCATCATTGACAATGAGATTTGTTTAATACTAGTTCACTATCTATTAGAAAGGTTTGCTTTATTTTATGTTATTTCTATTGTCTTTGATGATTTATGAAGAATGGTGATCTGGATTCATCAGTATGAGAAGAAACACCAGAGTTGTCTCTAAAGATATAACTAAAGAGATGACTCCTTTTTAATGTACCTCATTTGCTTCAAATATTTGCAGAGAATGAATCAAACAACAGAATGTGTGTTTTTTTTGTATTTTACTTCCATCATTTTGCATCTATGCTTACGTCTCTTGATATAAAACTAACACATATAAATCACACTTTGTGGTAGATGGACGCACAGTAAGTGTAACAGCAAGTGATAAATTATAATAGGCGTTATAATAAATATGAAGACATGAACGAAAGCCTACAAACTGACGTTGCAAAAACTTTGTCATAATAGCCCGTTTTCAAGTGTTGTTGAGGAAGTGGTAGAAAGCACAATAGATTAGAGACAATGGAAATGGAGCCTTCCAGTTTATAGAGAACTTTGTGTAATAATTTTAGGTGCATTGCACTATGTATACAAATATTTGTGATAATCTGTGCTGAGCAGCAATATTGGCCAACATTTATGGAATACCTCACCAAGCTCAAGAATGTCAGCTATAATTCTCATCTGCTACGTGTAAGTATACCACCTACTTCTATAGATTTATCAGGGAATTCTAGCCACTATTTCCCCCAGTAATTACAATGGGGAGTCATTGTCATAGAATTCCATAAGCATTTCTGGAGACAGGTGATTATAAACACTAATAATCACACCTATATTCCCCCTATGATACTCATTAGTTAATATATTATTATATAAGTAAAACGCAAAGAAAAAAAAACCATGTGGCCGTTCTATGAAGTTCAGGTTTTTACACATATTTAATACATGTAATAATATACTGTATATCCAGTGAATTGCATTTGGGATATGTATTTTAGAAATTTTCTAGTTAGCTAGTTTGTCTTGTCTAGTCCACATTCTAATGAGCGTAGACCGTAAGCACCCTAAATGGTAAAAAAAAATTGCCTTAATAAATAAATATAATATTTTGTAGATGTCCATTAGTTCTAAAGTCACTGTAAAGCCTTTTGGGTTGCACACAAGATGACATCCATCTTGCTCTAGATTATTTGTCACTATCGATTAAAAAAAAAAATAAGGTGGGTGCAATTGGCATTTTGATTTTAAAATAATAAAGAGTAATTTATTTATTTTCTCCGTTCCTCTTTTGTACAGCTTTAATTTATATCTCGCACATCAAAATCCAGAATGTCCATACTTTTGCCCATTATCAGTATTGATGAGGTGTTCCTAGTTATGCCCAGTATACTTAGTAGCCTAGGTAAAACATATGAAGCAGCAGACGTACTACAAACCCAATATTGGTTCATGCCTGATGACATATATCTTAGTGTCACCCTCTAGCAGTTATTGGGATAAAATGTATTCATAAACGTAATTAAGGGTCTTATTAATCTTCCCACTGCTTTCTTTGTGGCAGGTGTACAGTTATTTGCAGTCAGTGTGCAGAATGTTCGTAAGACCTTAACAATAGGAATCATTAAATATTATTGTTTCCTCTAGAAAGTGAGTTCTGCCAATGACGGTGAGAAAGTGACACAACCTCTTAATAGAACTCATTCCATGTATCAAAAAATGTCAGTGAGAGTGGATAAACCTGAAACCAGTTCTCATACACTAATTGCACTCTGTAGCTACAATGCCTGCTGACAGCCATATATATTGCATGCTAGCAGTGCCTCTCATTGAGCTATAGCAGGTCTCACATGCAATAAACATGTTCCAGGTACAGAAAATGTTACATTTGCATTTTAGCCGAGCACACGTGCATTTTGAAAGCTTGCAATTTGATGATTTATTAACTTAAATAGCCATTTGTTGCTACATGTTTAAATGTGAATTGATCGTGGCTGCATTTACAGAATATTTTTAGGGGATTATCACAGGAAACATTATTATTCCTATGCCTGCTTCTGCTGTTCCGTGATCCATGCTTGTATAGCTTTGAAAACCAAGACTTTGTCCAGGTCCCTTTGATAAAGACACAGGCAAAATACCCCAGGGCATGACAACACATAACAACGAAGGAAAACTTTTACTACTTACGAACGCGTAATGCAAACAATACGGAAAAAGACAACATTTCACAGTGTAAATTGTAAATATATTCAGAATTTAAAAAGAGTGACTAAAGGAAATTGCACAGAATCCAAAAGATTCCAAAATAGAGTGCTCTGTGCACTAGAAGCTACCTCCAGCCAGGTATGTGTAAATGTTGGCTTTTTCTCCACAAAAAATGATGTATTGAAAACATATGGCAGCGTGTCAAAAAAACACATGTAGGCATTATTATGCATCATTTTGATGCTGGTTTATTTAAAAGATAACATTTTAAAAATGGCACTCACATGGATCAATATTAATGTGAAAAGTAAAACTTTACAAAAATAAATAATTAGCCAAATAACTTATTTCAAGGCATAATGTGATTCTGGCACGTACAAAGAGACCACAGGGCAAGGACCGCAAGCCAATTACCAACTCACCATTGTTAACCCCTTAAGGACTGAGCCAAATGTACACGTTGTGAACGAAACAAAATGTAAACAAAACCTGGCATTTGCGCTACATGTCTGTCCAACCGTAATTCACCTCTTTCATATTAAATGCACCCACCCTTATTATATATAATTTTATTCAGGGGAAACAGGGCTTACATTTAATATCAAATATTTAGCTATGAAACATAATTTAATATGAAAAAAATGGGAGAAAATAATATATATATATTTTTTTTTAGTTCTACATGACATTTTAACTGTCAATGTCATAATACTGTTTGCTTTTACTGCAATAAAATACACATATTTGTATTCAGCGATGTCTCACGTGTAAAACAGTATCCCCTATGTACTGGTTTTATAGCGTTTTGGGAAGTTACAGGGTCAAATATAGCACGTTACATTTGAAATTGAAATTCGCCAGATTGGTTACGTTGCCTTTGGGACTTTATAGTAGCCCAGGAATGAAATTTACACCCATAATGGCATACCATTTGCAATAGTAGACAACCCAAGGTATTGCAAATGGGGTATGTCCAGTCTTTTTTAGTAGCCATTTGGTCACAAACACTGGCCAAAGTTAGCGTTAGTATTTGTTTGTGTGTGAAAAATGGCTACTAAAAAAGACTGGACATACCCCGTTTGCAATACCTTGGGTTGTCTACTATTGCAAATGGTATGCCATCATAGGGGTAATTTTCACTCTTGGGCTACCATAGGGTCTCAAAGGCAACGTACCCAATCTGGTGAATTTTAATGTGAAAAAAATGAAACACAAGCCTTATATTTGACACTGTAACTTTTGAAAACACCATAAAACCTGTACATGAGGGGTACTGTTGGGTACTCGGGAGACTTTGCTGAACACAAATATTTGTGTTTCAAAACAGTAAAAAGTATTGCAGGAATAATATTGTCCGTGTAAGTGCTGTTTGTGAGTGAAAAATGCAAAAAACGTCACTTTTACTGGCGATATCATCGTTGTAATACATTTTACTGTTTTGAAATACTAATATTTGTGTTCAGCGAAGTGCCCCAAGTAGAACAGTACCCCCCATGTACAGGTTTTATGGTGTCTTGAAAAGTTATAGGGTTAAATATAGTGCTAGCAAATTAAATTCCCTTTACTTTCGGCATGGGTTGTCAGGCAGGTCCCGCTAATTGTAACTAATTAAGATACCCAATTATGTAAAATTATTACATAAATATATATGTAGAAT